GCTGCACTCGGAGCGGCCTCAGATCTCTGAGCTCTGAGGAAGAATACGCGAAATCACGATTTCTCTCGAGCCTAGGACGGCAAGCCATGATGGACACACGAGTTGCCCACAGCTCACAGTCGCAGGGGTGGCTCGAGAGGGCCGATTGGGGGGGCGCGGGCGGGCGTGCCAGAAGCGATTCCGCGAAGGCCCAGCGGGGGGGGGGGCTCCAGGGGGGCCAGAGAAGACTTTGTGCAAATCCGAGAGGGCCTCGGCGCCCCCCCCCACCCCCCACGCCCCCGATGAGACAGAGAAGGCCCGATGAAGGCCTCGGGGGAGGGCACAGAAAGCACCAGAGCGGCCCAAGCAGGCCCGAGGCAACGTAGGGAATGCACCAGGAAAGTCTTCGGGAAAGCCTAAAAAAAGCCTCGATGAAACCCGAGAAGTCCCAAGGATCTGCCCCAAGAAAGCGTCACTCGCCCCCATCGTCTAGCTCCCTCGGGCCTCCTCCACCCCCAACCTCATCCGAACCATCGCGCCCGCCACCCCCTCCTGCGCCCCTCCGTCCTCGCTCAGCCACTCCCTTCACCTCCCCCACGGGGGCTCCTGGGCCCCTGTGCTTGGTAGGCACCAGTCGGCGACGCGGCGCGTGTCTCCGGACCACCCAGGCCCGCCCAGGCGACACCCCGTGTGTCTCCCGAACCCACAGACGACCCTGGGGCGACACGGGATGTGTCGCTGGGGAGGATTTTTGGACACGGAAAAGCAAATGTATCGAGGATCCGGACCCCCCGTGTGTCGCACCAGGGGACGACCCCCCCCCGCGCGACACGCTGCGTGTCTCCTGTGGGGACCAGAAACGCCCCCCTCAGACGGGCCATGTCGGGGTCCTCCACCCGACCGCCCATTCTGATTGCAGCCGCTCCTAAGACCCCAAACTCAGCACTCCAAGCATTGAATACTTCAAACAACAACGTTTAAGCTGATGCTTGCGGGCAGAGGTGGCAAATCGGCCCCGCCTCACATAAACCAGACACGACCTGTTCGTGGCGATCCAAAGAAGCGGTGACTCGATGATGATTCACTCTCCTCCAGTCTACGCAAGGTGGCTGGCGCACACGGGCTCCTCGGGCTCGCCAGCGCGACGAGGCCGCTCCATGCTGAGCAAACGCTCGCCGTTGTGAAACTCTCGCAAGGCCTCCCTGGCCTCGCACCGCGTCTGGCGGCTGATGCTCGCCACGAAAAATGCGCTCTGGTGCTCAGCTTTGGTGGCGCACCCGTCGGCTGCGAGCCACGCGGCCATGAGGCCGACGGGCCGACCTTTCAAGGAACGCTCTCTGTCCGTCAGCCCCTCGGGGGAGCTCGCCCAGGCTGAGGGGGCCACGCGGCGGGCGGGGCGGCTCGACCACCAGGGTTCACCATGGGGGCCCTTCTGAATCCTTTCGGCGTTATCTTGGGCCACGGAATGAGAGTTCTCTGTGCCCTACTGGGCCGAAACAAGGGGCCCGAAGTACATGCGCCAGGCGCGCCTCGAAACGGGCCCCAAAGGACGCGCGTTTCGAGCGAATGGGCCAGCCCACGAGCCAATACTTAGGCATGTTTGGCCCCATAACAGGCCACTGATTGGGCTCTCGAGAGACCCTCCTAAACCGAAAACGAATGACGATTCTAAGGCCATCGACGCAATTCGAAGCTGGCCCCAGCAGGTCATAAAGTTAGACACCGCACGCAATAAGATCTCACATCGCGGGTGCGCCCAGGCACGACGAAACAAAATTAGCCAGGTGATGGGTGCGACCATCTGCAGTTGTGAGCACCACGGATGAGGTGAGAACGAGGGGAGGGGCTGGAACAATGATTCAAGCGCGCGTGAGAAGGACGGAGCGTCGTTGCTGATTGGGCACCGAAGCCAGCCGCCAAATGTTACATGTGGATGTAGCACGTCATGGATGCTATGCATGTGCGTTTGTGACGACGATGGAGCGGCATTGCTGTTGGGGTCGGATGGGCCAACCGTATCGGGTATCATCTGGGCGCAACCCGTCACGGCCGATCTGCGCGCGCACATGAGAAAGACGCAACGGCGTTGCTCGTGAAGTCGCAGAGGTCAGCCGCAACGGGTTGCATCTGGATGCTGCCCAGCACGGTTGAAGTGTTCCTTTGTCGGCGCGGCCCAGGAGAACAGCATGCGATGGGGCCGCGAAGCGCGCGAGGGTGTGCCAATACTGGCGCTGCAAGGCATGTGACCCCTGCCATTGGGGCTTTCGGCTGAGCTTCATATGGGGCCGCGAAGCGCTAGAGGGGTTTGCCAACACGGGCGCGGCCACACGTGCGACTCTAGCCGCTGGGGCCTTCGGCGGAGCTCCCCGTGGGTCCACGGAGCGCATTGCGAGGTGCGTGTCGGCATGCAACCGACGAGGAGGATAATGGTGACGAGGAGGAGGATCCACGTGAGGATTCGGAAAGTGGCCTCCTTCTCCCCCCCCCTCCTACTCCACCCCCTCCTACATCTCAATCTCCTCCTCCTCACCCTCTCCTCCGCCCTCAGCTTCGTACCCCTCCTCCTCCTCCTTATCCTCGAGAGAGCCCTGACAGGGCGCGAAGAAGCTCCAGGAGGTCCCTTAGGGGGTCCAAGGTGGCCCCAAGATGACGCCAAGAGGTATCCAGGCCGATGGGGGGCGCAACGTAGCCGCAGTAGGGACTTTGTAGTGTTCATGGTGAGCAGCCCTCAAAACGAACACTTCCCAATCGCTCGCGGTGCCCTTTTTGGCTCCGAGGGGGGCTCTCTTGAGCCCCCTTGGGGGGTGGCTCCAAGAGGGCTGAAGATGGCTGCAGCAGGGCCCCGATGGGGGGGGCAACGGGTCCCCCAAAAGGCCACATGGTCACAGAGGCGTCTTGGGGCCATATTGGTCCACCCTCGGCGCCCGCTTGAGGCCGCCTTGGGGCCCTCTCGGGGCCCTCTGGGGGGGGGGCTCTATGGGGGCCCAAGAGGCAAGAGGGGCCCAAAAGGTCCAAGACCGCAAGACCCAACTCCCGCGCGAAGGTCAAGACACGTGCGCGCGAAGCGTTAGGGATCGATGTAGTACCTCGTCATCCTGCAAGGACGGTCCAGCCCCCTGGTGAAATGGTCGCGGCTGCACGTCGCCTCAAAGCGGGCTTGCTGTGTCTCCGTCGGGGGGTAATACCTGATGGCGCCATTAGCCATTCTAACCCTGACGACGCCTGGTGGGTCGGGGGGGCCATCGTCAACTCCGTCGCCGCCGCCAGCCAGTGGGTCGCCCACCACGGGCGGGACGGGGGCACCCTCCTCGTCCCCGCTGGGGTCGTCCTCATGTATGTCTGAGTCGCCACCCACATCGACATCGGCGCCCTCCTAAACTGGGAAACTATTGGGGGCACGCTCCAACACAGCATGCAGGGCTAGCTTTCGACCGATCTAGGGTTGAACGACGTAGGCTTTGTCCTACGGGTGTACAGCGGGCCCACATCGGGCCCTTCAGGCACCCACGAGCAACGTCATGTGTCACGCGTGCGCGCCGTCCCATGTATGAGTACACAGGTTCCGCGTACGTGTACGAGTGATACGATGCATAGGTATGCGCGCGTGCTTATACTTACACACACATTCAGCACCCATGTACCACTTAAACGCATGTTCGTACAAGTCTCTAGGTATACGTATACACGCCTCGCACAGGTACCCTCATCGCTCACAGTGTCACCGTGGGCAGCCGCGACCCTATTGGGCCCCCAGCCCACATAGGGCAATGCGTTTGACGCTTTAACGATGCACACTTTGTTTCCACCAGAAAGGCCCACCCCTCATGGAACGGAGCCCCCAATCATCAGTCGCTGATCAGGACCCCCCCCCCCAGTTGGACCCCAAGATGCACCAACAAACTCTAAAACACTGGATACTCAACCATAAAACAACACGTGTATCGGCCCAGCCAGCGGTTGCAAGTTTACCCGAAAGTCCTGGAAGCCGTCGCCGCCAGGCTCCGAAGGCTCCGAATCGGGCTCGCCGTCGGGGTCGGCCTCGCCGTCCTCCAAGGCGTGGAACGCCTCGTCGGGCTCGGGCGGCTCGTCGACCCGAGGGAGTCGACCGCCTCCGCGCCTGCTGGCAGGAGGCGGTGTCCAGAACACGGTGGCGCCTGCATCTCCCCCAACTTCGCGCACTGACACATCACCAGGGCGAAACACACCGATGTGTACTGGGTCGTCGACGATGGCGTACAACTGCATAGACCATTCCATGGAAGGGTCCATCTCTCGGAACAAATAGAAGTCGAAGAACGTGTCTTTGGTCGCCTGGGGAGGCGGTGGGTTGGACACAGCAAACAGCTGTTGCGCGGGCTAATGGGTAAACCTCCCTGGGACAGTGCCCCGATTGACCTCCAAGGGCCCCCCGAAAGTGATGGCACATGCGGGCTTGGCACGGCCCAAGGATGCGAGACATCGCGTTGCATCCTGGCGCGGTCGCGCTCACGTGCGGCTCCCGTGGATGGCGCCAACATGCCACCAGCAAGTCCAACGAGGACCCCGCGCCACCCCAGGATGCCCCAATCATGGCCCAAGAGGCTCCCGAGAGCGCCCCAGTAATCCCCTAGGTGGCTCTGGAAAGCACAGCCACGGCCCAAGAGTGCACCAAGGCTGCGTCAGAGAGCACCCGACGAAACCCAGAACACCCAGGCAGTCTAACACCACGCCCTACATTCCCAGGGAAATCTCGGGCGACGCTGAAAGCGCACACGGTGCCCTCGGCTGCGCGGCTGGGGGGGTCGGACAAAATTGGTGGTGCCTTTGTCCGAACGCCCCCTAATAACAACGCTGAGGATTGCGGGCGCTCGGCCAACACGCATCTGCAAGTAGGGGGACGAGCTGAGGCGCGGGGGCGGCTGGCGGAGGAGGCGGCGCAAACCCCAGGCAGGACAAGGCAATGAGGAGGCGATGGAGGAGGGAGGGTGGCAGGGAGAAAAGGGAAACAGAGAGCAGGCCCCTTGTTGCTCAAACCCGCTGTCCTCAAGCATGATCTCGCCATCAACCACCGCGACCCTGTCAGGGTCCTCACCGACGACAAGGGCCAAGAAGCTCGAGCGGTACGGGTTCAGGGAGTGCGCGCCGATGTGGAACCACATCTCCAGATGTGCAGGTCCAACTTCACCACCGCCAAGTAGATCAGCGAACTCGTCGCCCCAGCCGTCGCTCATCTCGGTGAAGAGCTGCTCCCGATGGCCGTCAAACCGAACGACCAGCGACTGCTGTCGCAATAGACTCTTCATTGGCCCTGCCTTGTAAAGAACCTTCAGCTTCGCCAGGTATGCGTTCCTCATTTTCCAGATGAGGACGCCGTCGCCGCTGCATAAGCAGATGCCCACCTCGTGGCAAGGCGGTGGGCCGATCTTCTTCTTCTTCTCATCAAGTACAATCGGCTCCGATAGCTCGTGCAGGATGGGCGTGGACATGGAGTCGAAGTCCACCTGCAGGGCTCCCCACGTTGGAGGTACGTGCTAACATATCAGTAGCCAAAGCAACCTTCAAGGCGTTCGTCGTAGTCGGGATCAGCTCGAACACGACGTCATCCACATCTGGCACGGGGTACAAACACTGCTTGAATGGCTGCAGCACGGGATTCTGGGCCACGGTCTCTTCCAACAATGCTTTCCCTTTCGTGGCTGCCCACTCCCGCAACGCACGCTGGTCAGCGGCTCGGCGCCTGCCCGCCTCCAGCAGCATGCGCCGCTGCTCCGCCTTTGCGGACGCCACCAACTCATGTAAGTGTCGGTTGTCCGAGCGGCGCATGACCAATGATACTGCCGAAAACGCAGCCCGCCGCCGAGACATAGGATCTGGCCCTGCACCGCTAGCCTCATCAGCCTGAGTGCGCTCGGCCGCCGCGGCGGCTTGGGCACTGCGTTGTTGGCGTCGGAGCGCCCTCGACGTAAAGCCAAATGCGCCCTCGCCTGGCCGCAGCTTCGCCAACTGCTGCTGGGCGCCCTTCGCCAAGTCGATGTAGAACTGCTTCTCGTCTGGCGTCAGCGCGTTGTACGCTGCTGACAACGCCGACAAGTCGGGCCTCCCCTCCGTCCCAAACGTGTGGTATCGAACGTAAGCGTGCCAAGGGCCAGAGTACCAGCGGTCTCTCAGGTCGTCGCAGTCGCCGTCGGGCCCGACCGACCCGTCGCACAAGCCGTTGGCGGTCAGCTTGCTCAACTCCTTCGCCACAGTGTTGTAGGCAACGCGGGCGTGCACGCGGTCGCAGATGGCCTCGGCGTTGACCTCAGCGAACGCCTGCCCATTCGCATGGACCCCTCGCATATACAAACGCCTCCGCAACGCTGCGTGCCAGCACTCTATCTTCGCCATGTGCCGTCTGGCGAGCCTGCATTGGAATCGTAAAGCTGCCTGCGCATCGTCACTGCGTAAGCCACCAGGCTTGTCGACGAACTCGTCCAGGAACCTCTTGCTCCAGGGATCGTGCAAACATTGCGGCTTGTTCGCAAAGTCATCGGCGTCAGCATCGCTCAACAAACATCGGAACGTTGCAACGGGCTCGACCTTGTGGCGCAGACACGCCGTCCGCCCTGCTGTGCATAAGCTCCCAGACAAAAGCTTGAACGTAAACGCCCTGCACTCCAAGGTCTTATCGGCGTCGCCCACCAATACGTCCCAGTGGGTAGCGGAATTCATCATTGTCACAATGTCGGTCAAGAAATTCGAATCGGCACCGCCCTTGGCCATCTCGAGCAACTCGAAACTCCTGTTGGCTCGGGGCTGGCCCTGCCCCGACGGGGCCAGCAGCGCGCGCGCCTGTGACGCGCGCTGAGCCGCCTCCCAGTCCACCGAACCCTGGTCGAGGAGCTGGTCCAAATACATCTCGTGTGCCAGAGCAACTTGGATTGTTATCAACGTCCTGCTAGTAGGATCTGACTGAGACAACTCCAAACCAATCTCAATATCCTTATTGTTCTCCTCCCTGTGCGATCGCTCCTGGTCGACCTTGCTCGCCTGCTCGCCGACACCGCCGTGGGCTCCGTCCTGGGCGCCGCCGCCACACACACCGCCTCCGCCGTCAGCAGGGCCGCCGCCGCCCTCGATGGCCAGCACAGGGGCCCCACCGCCTCCAGCAGCTGCTCCCTGGACAGGTCTCCCGATGCACTTGTCGTTGATCGCCCGAGCCCGCTCGGCGAAACGCTCGTACGCTGGGGCGCCCAGACCGCAACAAGCGAACGGCAGCACGAACTGCGACAAGGCCTTGGACACGCCCTTCCATTTAGATTTCACGTACTTGGTGAACAGAGTGCCTGCAAATATTCTCTTAAAGCTCCACGCCACGGCTGATGCAATCGCATGTGGGTCGGCGTTGGTGCCCAGCGGGACGTACACCTCGACCTTCTCATGGTTTCGCCAATTGCCATTTGGCAGCGTTCTACTTGCGATGAGCATCTCGACCTGGTTCGGAACGTTCCGCATACATAGGCACGTGACGTAGTTGCGGTATGCTTTATGCTCGTCTGGGGGCTGGCCGTAGCGCACGTCGATCCGTTCGAAAACCAGTTCCTCCAAAGTTTCCCCATACATGGTGAGTCCAGTACCAAAATTGATGCTCGATGCCCATCTCCGCTGGGCCTTCATAAAGTCGTCGCACACAAACATGGAGTCGTGGCAATTGTTGACTGCAGCGTGGATGTCGCACTTGAAATGCAAGCGACGCCAATCGCACCCGAGATCCGACAGGACAGCACGCTCAGAGCGATCATTGCCGCCAGCGGCGTCGGCGCACGTGCTCCTCGTGCGCGCTTTGAACTTCACATGGCCGCGCTGCTTCAAGGATGTTCGGTGCCGCCATGCCGCCCGTAAGCACTCGCCCGTGGTGCGGTCCAGAATCTGAAGCGGGTTCACGCAAGCGCCAATAATAGTTATATCATGTGGACCACCATTGCCTATAAATCGGTACGCGTAGACAGACTCTGACTGGAGGATCTTCGACATCGTTTTCCGTGCCCGCGAGATGCATTTGAGGGACTTCTCCATGTGCGCAAGGAACTGGTGGCTCCTGGCCGCAACAATCATCGCATTCTGTTGTCCAGAGTTCTGGGCGGGGTGCCACGCGTGCCGAGTCACAGCCATCGGAGTCTCGTCTTGCCTGTCGAAATCGATCATATCCACTAAACGTTCACTACTCACGAGCAACGCCAACCGTGTCTCCAACATTGATCGTGCCAAACGGTCAGCATACAATAAGACCTCAGCCAACGTGATAATTGATGGGCCAATCTTCCTCGCATCCACGCCGATGAGATTGCTGAAGGCCTCCTTCGTCAAGACGATGCCGCTCCCACGATCGAAGAAATGTTGGGCAATCTTGGCGACTGGGGAGTCGGCGTGCTGGGCGATGTTCAAAGTTTGGGCACGTTGCTGCAGCTGTGATATAACAATAGACATCGGCCACTGCTGCGATCGGCTCTGGGTCGGATAGCGAGCAATGGCGAACAACTCTGCTGGAACCTGCTTCGTCTCACGGCGGATGGCCAAGGCTAGCTGCGCACTCTCCTTTGCAAGATCTGCCCGATCTCGCGCCGCCTTGGCGTCTCGAGCCGTCTTGGCACCCCGCCGACGGGCTGTCTCTGCAGGCGCCGACTCGGCGAGAGTGATCGACGCAAGCGTCTCTCGTGCAGACTGGCTCAGGCGGCGCTTGGCTGCGCGCGGCGGCTGGGCCACGCCGAGCTGGTCTGGCACTGCGCCGCCGCCCGCTGCCACCGCCTGCAGAACTGACGAGTGATCCTGCTGCGGACGCCTGCTGCGGGCTGCAGGGGGGCCGCTGCTGCTGTCGGCGCACACGGTGGCAATCTCGTCACTCCAGGCAGCGTCCTGATCCCGTGGGCTGTCCGAGGTGCCTTCGGACATCTCGGCACGGGTGCTTCATTGCCCCGAAAAGAGGATGAGCCCAAATGGCTACGCGTGCCCGCATTTAAGGAGAGTGGGGATATAGATGATACGAACGAAAGAGTGAGGATACGGACGGGAGTCGGTATACCGTAGGGGGGGGAGTTGCCTTGATCAAATAGACGAAATCCATTTGGCTTGAGCGGCCTAGGTCAATGGAAGAAACGTTTTAGACCCCCCAGGCCAAAGAGGCGGACGGACTGCGGTCATGCCTCCTTCTCCTCCTCCTCCTCCTCTCCCTCCGAATGTCATTCCCGCTCGCTCCCCCGCCGCCTCCCCCCTCCGTTATACCACGTTTCTCTTCCATCCTCACTTTCTTCCCCCTTCCCCCCTCTACAAATTAACGTGTATTCTCTTTGATCTAGACGACTCTACTCCACGGGTTTCGTGCGCGGGGCGCCGATCACTCGCGGATGGTACCGAAAAAACTTAAACTAATTTTCAAGAACATGGCGTCGGAACGAAGGCCCTGAAATGCGAAAACGGGACCGAACATGTCAAACACGAGGGGCGCAAATAGTACAAACGGGCTTGACCGTGTCGCTCTGGGGGCGGCGAACACTTTTTAAATCATTTTGCTTTAGAACCCCAGCAACGACATATCAACTGTTTCGAGATTGTTTGCTGCCGTCGCCTTCGTTTTCTTTGGGAACCAGCTGCAGCTGGTCACGCGTAATATAATCGCTGCACTTCCCCAGGGATTTCCCTGACCTGCCGAGCGCTGCGGCCGCGGCGCGGGCGCGCGTGGCGCGCTTCGAAAACTCCGCCCACGGCGGGCTGAAAACCCGCCGACGCACGAGGACCCTCCAGAGGCTCCCTGCTGCCCGGCAACCGCGCCCGTGCGGCAGAGCGCGGGGCGCTCATCCAGGACTGCGTCATCTTCCACCTGGAGGCCGCCAGTGAGGTTTTGTCGCGGGCTGAGGCGACGCATCGTGCCTCCCCTTCCCTTTTCGATTTTTCGGCTCCAAAGGAGGGCTTGGCAGGCTCGCGCGACTCGGGCATTTAAAACCGCCGCGGGCCATTCCGCAGCGGCGCACGTGCGCACAACGCTCGATCGTTGCGCTTGCCCACGCCCCCAGGCCACCGTCCGCGTGCCTGGGCTCATTCCCTCTCTCTGTCTGCTCCTCTCCTCCCTCCTCGCGTCCAGGCGTGCCAGCTGCGCGCGGCCTGGAAAGGCTGGTGCACGGCGCGGCGCTTCCAAGGTGCCGCAGGGTGTATATTAGGTTGCAAAAGCGGCGAGTACAACATTGAACACGATGCACTCTGCAATTGTTTTCACAGCCTGTGCCAGAAATATCTAGGCCTCTCCCGACCCCCGCCGGAGGCGTGCCTGGGGGATTTCTTAGGCGTCCTCCCATGCACCTCCTCCCTTCCGCCCCGCCTGCAGACAGGTGCTGCCGTCGCCTCGGCGGCAGCCCTCCGAACATCTGGCGCTTACTCGCTGTATACAGTGCAGAATGGCACTCGTCATGGCCTGCCCCAGGGCGATGGCCCTGAAGCCTTCCGCGGTTTTCTCCGCGGGGCCGTGCTGGGACGCCCCCCCGTGTCAAAGCTTGCTCCGCTCGGTTTTCAAGATGCCCCGCATGTGCTGCTAGCGTTCTTGCTCTCTTCCTTCGCCCCCCTTCTTCCCCTCATTGCCCCTCTTGTCCGTTCCCTGTCGTGGTACTCGTGAGCCTGGTCAGCCCCTCGGTGACACCTTTAAGCTTTAGTCTCTGCGCGCCGCCGCTGGTCGCGCACTCGGACCTCGCAGGCCATCCAGATTGGAACCGGTACGTTCCTGGGGCAACTCGTACCGTCTGCTTCTTCATTCGCGTCTCTGGTGCTGGGACTGTGTAGACTTTTCCTCTGCATTCGCACTGCCGTGGCCATGTGGGTGCCTAGACTGCCGAGCAGTCGGGCGATGGCTTCCGCGGTCTTTAAGCCAGCTCCATTGTCCACTGCTCCAGTCCCAGGGTGCGCGCGACGGTTCGCCTAGTTAGTGCAGGTTGGTTTGAAAGCTGGTCCTGGTTTGTGACTGGTCTCCCTTTCCTCGCTCCTCCCCCCCCTCCTCCGCGCTTCTCCTCCTACCTCCTCCTCCTCCTTCTGCACTTGCGGTCCGTAATTCGTGACATGTTCGTTGTGTGTTGCCGCTCGTTGCCGTCTCTTTGGCTGTACCGGCCTATCCTCGATTTGAGGCCTTTGATGTTGGCGTTGGCCCCGTAGGGTAATCCACAGGGTCCACAGCTACCGCTACTTGTGCCTGTTGTGGTTAGGCTGTGAAGGCAAGCGCTTAAGCGGACAGGAATCGTTTTTTCCCCAATGCGTCTGGTTCACGCAAGAGGCAGCCGGAGAGGGGAACCACACAAATCTTTTACCAGTTTTGTGCCTTCACTGCGCGCCCACCAGGAGTGCAAGGGCAGATCTGCGCGGTCATGTGGCTGGGTGGCCTTCAAGACGAGAAAAAGGAGGAAGGCCAGAACGTCGGGAACACCCTCTGGGGAAAAAGTACAACTGTGAGACATGGCAGCGTTTTCAAGACACTTGATTGGGCGGCGGGCCATTGCAATACTGAGTGTATCGATCATGATGTAACGTGCCAAGGGCTGTGCTGAGCTGCGCCTTTCTGAATTGCGATGTGCCAGGCCGCGCTTGTGTTCTATAGCGTTGTGTATCGAGTCCTCCTTTGCATCTGAGTCCTGACCGAACTGATCCGGATCTGTTCGAGCTGCTTCAGGAGAACATAGTAGCTGCCCCAGAGCCAGTTGAAGTGGAAACGTGCGGGACGTTCCGTCAATTCGACCTCGAAGCCCGACCCAGTTCCGAAAAGGAATGACACGACACTGGGCGCAGGCTCACGGACGCGCCACAGGATGTTCCAGGGGCGCATTTTTTGATCGAGACATCGAAGAAACATGATTATTCTAATTATGTACTTACTCCGTCTCTGCCATAGCTAAACAGGCTATGCGGTATCCCCGGTCGGCTGGACTCGACGGGGCGTTGAAAACCCCCCGCGAAGTCACGCCCCCTGGGTGGCGTAGCACCTCGAGGGGAAAGGCGCGGCGCGCGCTGCAAGGCACTCAGTTCACCTCCGTGCGACCCCCTCGCACCAGGGCCACTCCGATCAGGTTGTGTACGGCGTAAGGAAGCCGACTCGCAAGCGGGGGCTAGCGATCCGGCGAACCCAGGGGCGCAATAAGGGATGCGCCAGGGGACTGTTTAGGGGACGTCTCAGGGGACGTGCTGTGGACGCGTCCGGGGCCTGCCGCGGGACGTGCGTGCCAAAAGGCGCGTGCCTCGGAGCGGCCCGAGAAATGCCAAGGGGAGGAGGAGGAGGAGGAGGAGGAGGAGGAGGAGGAGGAGGAGGAGGAGGAGGAGGAGGAGGAGGAGGAGGAGGAGGAGGAGGAGGAGGAGGAGGAGGAGGGGAGGAGGAGGAGGAGGAGGAGGGGGAGGGGGAGGGGAGGAGGAGGAGGAGGGAGGAGGAGGAGGGAGGAGGAGGAGGAGGAGGACGAGAAGGAGCCGGAGGAGGAGGAGGAGGGGGAGGAGGAGGAGGAGGAGGAGGAGGAGGAGGAGCAAGGGACACGCCTGGGGATGAGCCAGGACACGCGACCGAGGACGAGCCAGGGAACGTGCCACGCCGATTTGCTTGCTGGGGGACGTGCCAGGGCACGTCACGCCAGAACGTCGCAAGAGACGCGCCAGGGGACGCGCCAGCGCGCTAGGGGACGCCCCACGGACAGGACACGGGAAACCAACCGCTTCTATCGAACCGTTTTCAACACCTCCTCATGCTAGACATGTGCCTGGGCGACCTGCGCAAGTGAACATAAGCGTTTCGGTCAACATGTCCTGAGAACATCCTCTTGGTAGACATTGCTAGACATCTGCCTGGGCGACCTGGACACGGGAGAAGAATCGGTTCGCTTGAGACATTTTCAGCACACCTCCATGTCAGACACTTGCATCAAGCGCTGCGCTCGAGACGTACTCAACACTTCCTCATGCGAGACATCTGCCTGGGCAACCTGGGCGCGTGACGCCAAGGGTCTCGCTCGAGACATCCTCAAGACCTGGGCACGTGAAAACAAACATTTCACCAGAGACATCCTTCGAATTCTGGCCCACAGGAGAGGAACAACCTATATGACAAAACAATCGTTTCGTGCGAGACATTCTCAACCAATTCTGCAGAACAAGCGTGTCGCTTGAGAGATCCACAACAAACGAACATGTGTACTTCACCATGTCATTGATCGATCGGAATTCCTAAAGCCAGCGTTTCACTCGGGACATCCTCCACTTGTGAATCAGCCGACCCTGCGCGACCTCGCTATGGATTGTAGAATGAATTAGCCAGCCCTGCGCAAGTTGAGGCCCAGCACTCGTCGTCGTAGTCGTCGTCGTCGTCGTCGTTATTGTCGTTTTTGTCGTCGTCTTCGCCCTTTCCGGGTCAAAACTCCACGGTCTGCTCCTCGCCCGCCCGCCGCGCCGCGCCGCAGGCGACGCGCAGTGGGAGAACCAGTGGCGCCAGCCCTGGCCGCGGCCCCCACGCCCGCGCGGCCGCTGGGGGGAGGGCAGGAAGGGAGGGTAGGCTTAAGTTGGGCCTGTCCCTCTACCGGAGGACCATTCAAACATAGTAAAAAAAGTTTGGGGACGATTTGTTGTAACTACCTTTAACTAGTTTGGCTTATTCTCATGGTATTCTGCGTTTTTCACCCAAAATCCGCCTGTCGGGGGACACGCCCGACATAAGGGTAGGGACGGAGGGAGCCAGGGGCAACGACAGGGGGGGCATAGTGGGCGTTGGACGCGACAGTGCCGCTCTTTTACCGGCTCCACTCCAAAGTGCTGCCGTTGGTTTGCCAGTTCCGTCGCCGTTTTCTGTTGCCGGTTCCGTCGCCGTTGTTTGTATCCGGGTTCCGTCGCCGGTATTTTTGTTATTTTTGTTTCTGGTTGTGGTTTCGGTTCCAATCCTGGAGCCATTTTTGTTGTTGTTTCCGGTCGTTGTTTTTGTCCAACCATCTTGTGGCGTTGGGTCCTCGTTTTGAAGAGACGGTCCCCGCGTCCCTCTTCTCCTCCTCCCCATCATCTTCATTATCATCATCATCATCATCATCATCATCATCATCATCATCACATTCATCATCATCAGCATCATCATCATCATCCTCATCATCATTATCATCATCATCGATGTCGTAATCAGCATCATCAGTATCATCAGTATCATCAGTAGCATCATCATCATCATCATCATCATCATCATCATCATCATCATCATCATCACATCATCGTCATCATCACCATTGACGTCTTCATCATCGTCGTCGTCACAACAATTCTTGCACACCCCTCACACGTTTCGTGGCCCCATAGGGAGCTCCACCGAAGGTTCTAGTGGCGCAGCCCGCATGCTTCACGCACACTCGTTTCGGCACACCCCTTACACGTTTCGTGGCCCCATAGGGAGCTCCACCGAAGGTGCCAGTGGCGCAGCCCGCATGCGTCACGCACACCAATTTCGGCACACCTCTCACCCGTTTCGTGGCCCCTTAGGGAGCTCCACCGAAGGTCCCAGTGGCGCAGCCCGCATGCGTCACGCACACACACACACACACATTTCGGCACACCCCTCACACGTTTCGTGTCCCCATAGGGAGCTCCACAGAAGGCCCCAGCGCAGCCCGCATGCGTCACGCACACACACATTTTGGCACACCTCTCACACGTTCCGTGGCACACCTCTCACACATTTTGGCCACCGAAGGTCCCAGTGGCACAGCCCGCATGCGTCACGCACAGATATTTCGTCACACCTCTCACCCGTTTCGTGGCGCCATAGGGAGCTCCACGGAAGGTCCCCGTGGCGCAGCCCGCATGCGTCACGCACACCCATCTTGGCAAACCTCTCACCCGTGCGGTGGCCCCGTAGATAGCTCCACCGAAGGCCCCAGTGGCGCAGCCCGCATGCGTCACGCACACACACACACACACACACACACACACACACACACACACACACACACACACACACACACACACACACACACACACACACACACACACACACACACTTCGGCACACCCCTCACACGTTTCGTGGTCCCATATGGAGCTCCACCGAAGGTCCCACTGGGAACGCCCGCAGGCGTCCGCCACACTCATTTCGGCACACCACTCACACGTTTTGTGACGCTTCGTTGCCTTATGGCGAGCTCCATCGAATGGCACAGTGCCGCCGACCGCATGCGTCACGCACACTCATTTTGGCACCCCTCTCACACGCTTCGTGGCCCCATAGGGAGCTCCACTGGAGGTCCCAGCCACCGCCCGCATGCGTCCGCCTCACCCACGTCGGCACACCCCTCACACGTGTCGCGGCCCCACGGGGAGCTCCACCGAAGACGGTATTTACAAATGCGGTTCTCACATTTGCATATGGTTGGGTTCTTCGCCAGGCTAATTTACCCTTCGCATTTTCAAGAGACACTTTTTCGGAAACGGTGAAAGAACAGCCCTGCCGCTGCCAGGCCCCACTAAGGCACTGGCACATGGGGGATACATCGACCTCGATGCATGGGGGCAACGATCTCAGACCCCCCTCGAATCATGAAGGAATCACGACTGAAGGCTATTTTCACTATCTACGCAACCCGACGGCCCCCTATGCCTATAGGCATAGGGGGCCGTCGGGTTGCGTCTGACGTTGCAGCCCCTGCGCGTGTCGCACCTCCCTTCCTCCTGCTCCGTTTCTCTCTCTTGAACTTTCTTTTCCCTCCCCGCCCCAGGGCACGACCCTCCTGAGGTCTTGGCCAGGGGCAGTGCCCCGCAGGCTCTTGGAGGCTAGGTATCACACGGACCGGGGGGAGGGAGGGGGAGCGGCCAGTTTCCGTCGACCTCGAATAGTTGACACATCGACGATGCATCGTTGATGTCAGGGCGATGCCTCGACGATGTACAGACGATGCATAGGACGGTCTGCATCGACGATGTATCGACGATGCATAGGCGATGTACCGGCAATTCGGGGTCGGTGCTCCCCCCTGCGGCAGGTTCATGCCGCGATGGCGCGCCAGCGACGCTGGCGAAGGCGTTGGTTGAAGTCCACATGATAGCACGAGGCGGAAGCACCGACTGACAGTGCAGCTCCACGTGACCCGACGGAACTCAGCCTTGGAGGATCGGGGCAGCGATCGGTTCAAGGCTGCAGGGCCGACGCAGTGTCAAAAACTTGTGCGCGCGCCGAGGCCGCACGAACTTCTGCCGATCCCCCCAGGTCGCTCCCCCCTCAGAGGGGGAGGGGGCCTTGGGCGCCCCTCGCGTCGCGAAGAGATCTGATGCCCGGGCGTCGTCGTCGTCGTCGTCGTCGTCGTGATGATGGTGGTCGAGCGTCGTCGCCGTCGCCTTCCTCTTTGCCCCCGCCCGCACCAGGCGTTTTCGTCCCGTTTCGGGCCCCGGGACCATCACAGATCGATCTGGTTCGAAGAATGCTGCAGTGCACGTCCTGTTTTGCTGGGTAGCGCGCGCCCTGTTCGGAAAACGCCGGGCCTCATGGGGAACACACAACGGATGGTGTTTGGCAATGTTCGGCTCCCTGAAGCCCTCGCCGGGCCCTAGGGCCGTCTCCAAGCGACTCAGATTCAGAAGCTGGCCCCACGAAAGTGGCAAGACATCTGGAGAGCCGCGGTGGAAAAAACACGACGTCGGATCTTTGGGGAGGGGGGGCCACGACATCGGGCCAGACGTGTTGGCAAGATCGATATGAGGTCTATTGTTGCTGTCGGCGTCTCGGAGACCTCCCCGTGCCCCGGGGACGTCAGCAGAACGACTCGGGGCGGAAACCAGAGGGTTCCAAAGGGGGTGTAGGGGAGTTGTTTTTCAAAGTGTATCCCTGGGGCCAGAGCCAACCAGGGAGACGTCCTGCGCATCGCAGGCCCCATGCGGCCCTTGGCCATCTGCGTCTGCCCACTGCATCCATCGCCCGCATCATGATCGCCGTCATGGGTGCGCAGTGGCCCTCCGGCTGCACATGAGCCATTAGACAATGACGCGTCCTCGTATTTCCTGATTGCGCCACGGACGCTGAAGCTGTTGCCGCATGTCGTAACAATTGCACCGATATGCGGGGAAGACATGGGTATGTGTTTCATGGACTTGGCTGCTGTTGGAGGCGGTATGACTCCCATGCGTGGTCCAGGCCAGGGAAGGCGAGTGACAGATGTTGGTCATGGTCACGGTCACTGTTCATGGAAGCGCGGTTTCCATGATTCTGTCGCCAGTTTATAGTCCGTCATCAGTTTCTACACGTGTTCTTCTACTTTGCAGAAGTTGCGCACGCTATCTGTGCGTAAACAGTTTTCGGTTCGGAGCGTCACGTTTCAATCCTGGTTGCGGTTACTAGTAATTGTGTTTCGACTGTTCTCTGGAAGCGACTCGCCGCAGTTCTGGAACAGCAGAAGTGACGGAAAGAGCGAGGGGCGAGCGAGTGACGTTGAGCAGGGGCGAAGCCCTCCTTAGGGGGAGTGCAGAGGGGGGTTGAGGCGGGAGTGTTGGGTTGGTAATGGCCCGTTTCCTTTTGTATTTATTCGAGTGAAGCGGTTCCCGGGCGGCTCCCATGGCCCGATTCTTCGTATCTGTTCGGGTGAAGCGGCCCAAGGGCCCCAAGACGGCCCAAGAGGGCCCCAAGACGGCCCCAAGAGAGCTTCAGATGGCCGCTAGACGGTCCAAGAGAATCTCGAGACGGCCCTGGAGGCCCTCAAGAGGGCCCCCTGAGAGAGCCTCCAGAGGCCAAAACTCTTGATTTCCCTATGGTGTTTTGCATGTTTTCGGGGTTCTCCCGTTTTCCGTCCCAGAAGGGCCCCAGACAGCCCAAGAGGCCCCGAAGATCGTCCCAAGACGGCCCCACAGGCGCCCCAAACGGGCCCAAACCGTCCGAGAGGGCCCCCAGACGGGCCCAAGACGGCCCAAGAGGCCCCAAAGATCGTCCCAAGACGGCCCCAGAGGCGCCCCAAAGGGGCCGCAAACGGCCCAAGATAGCCCCCAGACGGCCCAAGAGGGCCCCAATACGGCCAAGAGGGCCCCCAGGGCCCTAAGAGAGCTCAAGAGGGCCCCAATAGGCTCCCAAGCGGGCCCGAAGAGGAGGAGGGGGAGAAGGAGGAAGAGGAGGAGGAGGAGGAGGAGGAGGAGGAGGAGGAGGCTCCCAAGAACGAGCGGTGACGCAACCAGCTCTTACCACCAAGGCTCCCAAGAGCGAAGGGTGCCATGAGCCATCTCGGGCAGGTTGCTGCAGCGCTCTTTCCGTTTCCGTGCCGGCCCACGGGGCAGGCAACGAACCAAAACCGCGTTTTACACCGCAGGACGCATGCGCGTGCGGCCGTTTGAGAGCTTACACGAGCGCAGGAAGCAACAGCATCGTGGGCGCCCTTCACGACATTCCTGTTGGCGCGCACCGTCACCGCGCAGTGGCGAACGGGGGAAGCTTCCAGATCACCCGGCAGAGCAGAGCGGCAACGGCGCAGCGCCGCCTCCGCCCCCCTACGCTTTCCAGATATCCCAGGCCTCCTGTCCAGACATGGGGGGGAACAAATGTGAGGATCCTGGAGCTCCTCCTCCACCTGCTCCTGCTCCTCGATATGAGAAAGAGCGTGTTCTACCGCTGCTGGCGGAAAACCGGGGGGGGTCACTACCGGTTCGAACCCCTCCCCCCCCCCCCCCTCCGGAAAAACGGTGGCTGGGGTGTCACTACCGGTTCGAACCCTCCCCCCCCCCCCCTGCTCAGCATGAAAAGGAGGGGGGGGTCATACCGCGGTTCGAACCCCTCCCCCCCCCCCCCCCCCTTTCGGAATCGGAAACACCGGGGTGGGTCACATACCGGTTCGAACCCCCCCCCCTCGAAAATCCGAGTGGGGGTGGGGACAGTGGGACAGTGGTGGGGACAGTGGTGAGGGGATAGCGGGACAGTGGTGGGGACAGTGGGACAGTGGGACAGCGGTGGGGACGGTAGTGGTGGGGACAGTGGTGGGGACAATGGTGGGAACAGGGGGGGACAGTGGACAGTGGTGGTGACGGTGGTGGTGGGGACAGTGGTGTGGGGACAATGGGAATGAGGTGGAAACAGTGGGACAGTGGAGGGTACAATGGTGGTGGGGACAGTGGTGAAGGCGGTGGCGAGGACGGCGGTGGGACAATGGGACAGAGGTACAGTGGGGACAGTGGTGGGGACAGTGGGGACAGTGGTGGGAACAGTGGGACTGCTCAGTGGGACAGCGGAGGAGTCAGTGGGACAGTGGGGACAGTGGGGATAGGCAGTGGTTGGGTCCGTGGAGACAGTGGGGAGAGTGGAACCGTGGTGGGAACAGTTGTGGGAACAGTGGGAACAGTTTTGGGGACAGCGGGGACAGTGCGACAGTGGTGGGGCCACTGGTGGGGACAGTAGGGGCGGTGGTGGAACCAGTGGGGACAGCGGTGGTGAGGACAGTGGTGCTGGGAACACCAGTGGTGGATCTGATGCGGACGGTGGTGGGGACCGGGAGTCGTTTGCTGGCGGTGAGTAGGGGGGG